ACAGAGAACAGCTGTGGACGTCAGTGATCATCTAAACAACGTTCTTCTCTACATCAGGGCCTGGCCGTGAGGACAAACCTCTCTTCATGTTTCCTTGCTTGGATTTCTATTCAGTGCCTTCAAAGAGGTTTAAACAACAAATTGCAACTAACTGCTAGAAAATGGCTTCCAACTGTTGCCTTTAAGGACTGAAGTTTTTATTAGTTAATTATTATTATTATTTATTTTTTAAACAGTAGTATATTTATTAGTTTTTAATTACTGCCTCACGTGTGTTTTCTGGGTAAAGTATTGCCTGTTCCTTTAATATCTTCTAAGCTATTTTCTGGCTATTTCTGGGTTAGCTTTCAGCTAGCATTTTTCTTTGTAGCTCTAGCTTATTATTGCTGGGCTTTAGTAAACTGTTGAATTGTTGCTTAGCTTGTTTGGTGTAGTTGTTTGGTCACACTGGTGAGTTGTAGTAGTTGTTTCTTTCTGGGTTATTTCCTGTTTAACTTGTTAATATTTTACATTTGCTATGGCTAACGTTTAGCTGCTTTTATAATCACCATTATGTATTTCTTTCCTGCACTTTTGGCTAAATTTGATGTATTTTTTATGTATATTTAAAACTTTTTATTCTTTGCTATAATTTTTGCTACTATTGTTTTAATGAATGTCTGAGAAATAACTTTGTGTGGCTTTGACAGGGATCCAAACACAAAGATATGTAGTCGGTATGATTCTAGACAAATTTTCTTTTTTTCTCCAAGCTGCTACTGCTCTATGCAATTTCATGCATCAGTTGCTCCAAATTGTAGTGGACAGTTAAGTGTTCAAATTTAGAGGATGTTGTTGCCAGGAAATTATGTAACCATGCAACAGGAAGATGGATATAACTTAATTTGTCTTTATCTACAAGTATAAGTAGCTCGTAAATGATTCAAGGGACTAGTTTGCTGTTTTTGGAATTACCCTCGCTGTATGTGCCGTCTTACAGAGTGATAATAGATGATTATATGTTAGAGGATTGGGCAGCACAGATATATAGGTTAAAAAGAATATAAATTAAAATATGTCTTCTTTTAATGAAACAATGGAAAGTATATTTTTTGATGATAAAATCTGTAAAAAGAAATCTAAAAAAATGATGAATCAGATCAGAAGCAACTGATGGAATACGATATTTCCATGGCATTTCACAGTGCTGAGAGCGTCACTTCACCTAAATTTCATTGCAGGGGTGGAGACCTGAAATTCAAGTGTTACGTTTCTACGAACAAAAGCAATTTGAACCACAAATATGCTGATGGTTTGATAACACTTTATTTTGGGTAAACTTAATATTTCAAACGTCACAATAAAAAACATGAGAACTCTATTAAATAGATATCAAGTTATTCCAAGTCCATCTTAAGTTACTTCTGGAACGTGATGGTCACATCCCAGGTTAGCCTAACCTCACAGGACTTCTGTCAGGAAACAACACTATGCAACAGAACAGAATTTATATTTTATTTAGGGTTATATATATATATATATATATATATATATATATATATACATAATATATATATATATATATATATATATACATAATATATATATATATATATATATATATATACTGTATGTGTGTGTATATATATATATATTTAAAAGCTAAAGACCTGTTTTGCTGTTAGCAAGAAAGCTGATTAGAATCGGTTCATGGTTAAGGTTAGGGCTGAGGGACTGCAGTGTGTCTAGTGTCCGTCCTCACAAGTCATGAAAACCAGAGTGTGTGTATGTGTGTATGTTTATCACAGGATGACCAGGTGGACAGAAAGAAATAGAGGTTTTAGGCCGACAAAGAGAAGAACGTCTCCACTTCAAACAGAGGAGATGTAGTCAAAAAGACACAAGAAGACGATGATGGTGATGATGGTGATGATGGTGATGACGGTGATGATGGTGATGATGGTGATGATGGTGTGTGGGTGTTTATGTTACAACAGTACGAGCCACAGCTGTGTGTTCCACTAACCCTTTCAAAGACCTCGTCAGCGCTTGAAGACAAGCAGCTGAAAGAGAAGTCACACAACGACACACAGCTGTTTTTAGAGCCAGTGTGTGTGTGTCCGTGTGTGTGTGTGTGTGAGTGAGTGAGCGTACACATACAGTATTACCTCGTAGACATCAGATTGATTTCTCGCACTTAATACCTACATTCCTCATGGCTGCTATCATGCTGCGTGTGTGTGTGTGTGTGTGTGTGTGTTAATGTGTGCAGTGACGGCTCTTCAGCGGTGACTTCATTCAGCAGCAGTGAATTAAAAATGCTTACATCATGCAGTAATCTGCCCTCAGGCTATAAATCCCTGTGTATTTGCACATGTGTGCATACATGCTTGTTAGTGTGTGTGTGTGTGTGTGTGTGTGTGTATATGTTCACTTGGAGAACATTCAGACCGGACTGTGTATATTTAGACCCTGTTAAGACCTGGCATTAACATCCGCCTTGAGTCATCTGATCACATGTGGACAGCCCCTAAGTACAGGTCTGCTGGTTCCAAATGGGTCCTGAAACCCGTCCTCGGATACAATCACAAAAACCACATTTGGAGGTGGTTGGCGGAAGCATGTGGCCGCATTCCTGGGCCTGCATGAAGGCAACAATCTGAGGGATTAAAGAGCGACTCTTCCTTTTCAGCTGACATCCTCCGACCCGCTGTAGTTACACTGTATTTTTACAACAAAACATTGTTGACACTGACAGTAAGAACACTTTGATACAACATCCAAGTGTTAGTATTGGATCTTTTCAGGTCTGAACGTGCCAGTCAAAAAACTCAAAGAAGAGTTGGGGAAAAATTATTAGCTTTGCAAAGAATTTGTTAAATGGCCTAGAGCGGTGGTTCTCAAACCGTGGTACGCGTACTAGAGCACTCTCTAGTGGTTTGAACATAAACATCTTTATCACTCTCTAGTGGTTTGAACATAAACATATTTATATACATTTATAAATGTTGGTCACCATGCTGGTACAGAGTATAAAAAAGTTTGAGAACAACTGGCCTAGAGGAAATTGTCTGACCATTTGACTATTCAGTGATGATCACTGGACACTCGTGGGATTTTTTTTTTTTTTTCCCCAGAGCCCTAGAACTTCTTCTGCAGTGGTCCTTTGTGGTACCACGAACTTCTGCAACTCCCATTAGTTAAACATATGCAAAACCTTTGCTTCGTATCTCCAGTAAACTTCCTTAAACTCAGAGAGGTGACCCCGCCCCTCACTTTCAGGCCAGGTTTTGACTGAACTCACCTGAGCATCAGCCCCTTCTTTGCAGCTCTGTATTTAATAGCTGTTGATGCGGGAGACAAAAATCTTAAGTTGTTATCAAAAGTGAATCAAATCTGACCCATTTGGATACTTTAACATCTGTCCTTGAACTTTACGACCTATTTATTCTTCTGTTGTTTACAACCTTCAGATGTGTGTGTTCCCGTCATTTACTGAAGATTGTTCCGAGTCTTAGTGCAGCTTTAAAGACAAAGGGGGAAACATTTGCACTTTTGTTTCACTCCTTTTTATGAAGGCACAGAAACCGTCTCCAGATTTAGCTCTGGGTTTTTCTCCACACACTTGACCTCAGAGGACCTGAGGAGACTTCCTGTTCTCTGCACTATGGAAAACGTATCTGCTTTGTGTTCTGTGCTCAAAGCTTACGGCAGGTGCAGTTAATCCCAATTCACATATTAAACTAAGACCTGATTCATTCGCCATTTCTTTTTCTTATTAATCCTTCAAACAGGATCTTCTTCATAATCCCTCTTGTATTTACCAGGACTATTGTTGACGGTGAAGAGCTTTGAGTTTCTCTAATGCCTGCGTTTTTCTCCCCCTTTAATCTGTTTTGGTTTCCCCTCAGGGTGGCATGATTGGACTTGATGTGTCTGACCTCAGTTCCTCAGTCTACCTTTTCTTCCTGGTTGTCTGCTCCTTTCTATTGTATATTTTGATGCTTTTGTTTTCTTTTAAAACACAAGAAAATAGGTCAAAAAAAGTCCATTTAAAAATACTTTTCATTGAAATAATAAAAGTATTTTTTGAAGTATCTTCTATGTAAATGGTGTGAATGTCAGAGAACTTCTTTGAGGCGTCTTTGGTTTCAGGTTATGACCTGCTGTTTTGTCACGTCTATGGACCGAAATCTAGTTCCTCCCAAATCATCTTTCAGTTGCAAGAAAAAAAACAAAAATATTGGTACATCGAAAGCTACAGTAATTCTAACTGTTGTCCTTTAAAGTTTGGTTAAAAAAATTGAAGGCAACTCTGATTTTAAAATGGTTAATTTTTTAGAAATAAAAACCACACGATCAAATAAAGTGGTGAGAGACAGACTGGATTATAAAACCTGTCAAACCTGAGAGACACTCAACATGTTGTCAGTTCCTAAAACCAGACCTTTGTTTGAACCTGTGGACTTTCCTCATACGTTCCTCTTCTGACGCAATGAAACACTAACATGGAATTTTCGTTCATTCAACTTCCTTCTTTGTGATGTCACAGTGTGAAGTGGAAGAGGTTGGACTTTCTCTGGGTTGGCTTCAGAAGAAAGTTCCATGAGTTTTATTTTTAGCTTGAGTTGACCAAATGTTCATACATGGGGGGGGGGTGAGCGAGCGAGCGCTCTGATGCTGATGGAACTCCCTACAGTGTGATCACTTTGACCAATCACACTTTTATTTCAGAGGTGCAAAGGTCAGATTTTAGTTTCTCCTTGTAGCTCTGTCTGTTTGCTCTTTGAAAACCAGTTCCCAGTTGTGCCATCGTTTATAGACGTGCGACATTCGCAAGTAAATTCGAATTGAATAGTCTAAGGAGAGAAAATAATTGCCAATCATTTTCACAGTTCTTTGCTCCTTTAATCAGCTCCGGCAGCTTTATTGCATAAACGTGACAGTAATAGTTGACACTTCAGCACTCAACACGTGTCTTTTCTCTGTCTCTCTGTCTCTCTGTCTCTGTACTTTCCCAGGTAGGGCAGTTCAGTGAATTTCTCCATGAATGTACGTCACAATGATGATGACAGACCAGATTCCACTGGACTTGGCTCCGCCCCCTCTCCTGAATGGGGAGGTCCCCCTTCTGCCTCACATGGTTAACGATGATGCGGCACAGCAGGTAACCACACGCACACGCACACACGCACACGCACACATTTACAACATAGAAACAAGCTCGTCTATTGTTTGTGTACAGGTGTATTTGCATAGGAAAGATTCACACGAAATCACACACACATACACACACACATACACACACCGAGGCTGTTTTTGTGTTATATAATATATTTATCGTATGTTGGTCAATTCTGAGAAACACTAAGCTATTTGCCTGTTAACTACTTTCCGACCGTCCGTCTCTTTATTTGTGCTGTATTATTGTAAGACACTGATTTACCCACAAGTCATTTTTTTATATTTTGTCTAATTTTGTTGTGTGCAAATCTTTTGCCAATGTGAAATTATAGCAATCATTTTGAGCTAATTTTCTAATATTTTTTTTTGCATTTTAGCTTAGCTGCTAGCATTTTAGCTTACGTTGAGTAAGATCAGGATTATCATGTTGATATCAGTGAAAGTACAGTAGAAGATGTAGCTCAGCTGTGTTATTTAACCACAAAGTCGATATTTTAGAGCTCACTTATGAACAGCGTTTTAGTTTTGGTGTATATTTAGGTAACTTGGCCTATTTTGATCTCACTCAAGTCAAGTAGATTTGACTTAAAAAATGAATTTTTTTGTCTTCATTATTATTATTATTTCTTTCAGCTCATTTTGCCAGTGGATTTGACCAAGTTTCGTTCATATACTTTAATCTGCCTCGTAGTTTTACCTCTGGCGTGTTTGGGAATACAGTTAAAACATAAACTATAGCTAACACATTTTGTGTTTTACCTAACACTTTCTCTGCATGGCAAAACGTTGTATCAATGTATATTTAGATGTCAATCAGTTGCATTGATCTATGGCAGGCCTTTACTTTTGTTAGAATAACTTTGGATCAGAATTGTACTTCTTATCTGTGTCTCACTGATCTCATCAGATACTGTGGAGCCAAATGGATTACTTTCAAAGTACAAAACCCCAGCTGTCCTCTGCAGAGGCCAGAGGAAGGGATAAACATAATGTTAAAAACAACAGCAACACGATCTGGGTTTAATCCTTTTTTCACACATGTATTTTGTGCCTTTGGAAGATTAGGATGAGACGTGATGATGGCGATGAATTGTCATGGCCCGTTCCCTCGCTGCAGAGAGGAAGCATGGTTGGTGGGAGTGTTTTGGCCGTGACACATAACACTTAGGGAAGGTTTTGGCCGTAATACACTGCAGTTAGGGAGCTCTTTTTATTGTAACACCCTGCAGTTTAAACTTGGTTCCGAGTGTGGGAGCAGAGATAGAGACTGATGATTATATAGATTTGACTCTGTGTGTGTGTGTGTGTGTGTGTGTGTGTGTGTGTGTCTGGATGCTTGACTGAGTGTCTGTGTCAACCTGCCTACGTCTCTGGACCTGTGTGTTTTGTCTGTCTACTGTCTACAGATGAGTGCATGTGATTGTCAGTCTGCTACACTATTCAAATAAGGACAACTGATAACGGAATGTTTTATAGGTCAGTGGAGTTCCCAAAAAAAAAAAAAAAAAATTTAAAAAATCCCAATACAAATTACAAAATAGTCCAAAAATTACCAATACTAAATACAAAATAGTTGCTGTCTAGTAGTTTAGCTTCTCACCCTTTAAACCAATGCATCCGTGGAACATTCTGGATTCAGTGATTGCACTACACGTACATGAATGTGGCCATGATTAGTCTTTGCTTTGGCTACACAGAGAGTCAGCTGCTCTAAATGACCCAAAAAGTGGGTCACAGGAGAAGCCAATGTCCCAACATCAATTTATAGTTAAGACAACCAATCAGCAGCCTCCATTCAAAGCTGGGTCTGCTTGTTGGTTCCAGCTGTTTTTCTGTTTCATCCGAGGTACGTCTGACTTTAAACCTGCTTAGTAATTGTTTATAGGACCTACACACCAACGTGCACTAGGCCCAAGTGGAACAAAGCCACTCTCACACTTCAGGGTACATACATACATACATACATACATACATACATACATACATACACACGCTCAATGACCCATACATACATACATACATACATACATACATACATACATACATACATACATACATACATACATACATACATACATACATACATACATACATACACACGCTCAATGACCCAACCCACTGTTTGGGTGGTAACTTTCACAAACCATCTCTGCCACCACACCTTCACCACCTTGGTGCATCCGTACGGTCTCGTTGTATGTACAGTAGTGTTATATATAATTCACAGAAGTGCACAGTCACTGCACACACCCTCAGCTCCTGATGTGGGGGGTTTTCTTCTCTATAGGAAACATGGGTCGCCCTGTACTATGCTGACGTTCCCATGGCAACAGCAGCCGCTGCAGTAGACAGCAGGAAGTGTGTAATTGTCTCTGTGTGTGTATGTGAGAGAGAGAGAGAGAGAGAGAGAGAGAGAGAGAGAGAGGGGAGCAGGTTAGGGCTGAGATGGGAGGACACTGTGACTCTCACAGCAGAACAGCACAGTATGAGGATTTTACGACGACACACCTGTAGAGCTTAGACCGGGCTGCGCGTGCATGCATGCATCTCTGCATGAGTACATGTATATGTGTGTGCTATGGAGGGTCACCTGTTCCATGTCTACAGCCACGTGTACACTCTCAACAATCTGAATGCGGATAATATGATGGTAAGCCGCCTGCCGTGCTTCCTCTAGGCACGTTCTGCAGAAAACCTGAACCCACGCTGTGTTTTATTTGTGTGTGTTGGTCTGCTGTGCATGTACTCTGTTGTCGTAGCTTAGTACTTCAACCGGTCATCACAGTAGATGTCAACAATAACTTTTGCAGGATCCATTAATTGCCAGACTGGTTGTTTTTCAAATCAACAGGTGGTGACGTTGGTGTGTTTGTGAAGCCTCTGTTACCTCATTAGAAGACATGAGTTTAAAACTGTTACATACACGGTTTGTAGTTCTTCTGTGTTTACAAACACATATAACACATCATATTTTACAGAAATGTGATTAAACTGTCATAAACAGGCAATAAGTTTATGTTTGGCCTGTTGTTGTGAGGAGATTTTCAGTTCCCAGTTGCTATTACCAGGTTAGCTAGAAACACCTGATTAATATAACAGATCTCACTATGGTAATGTTTGATTTAGATGCTGGACATTTGGTGTGATTTATTTATGTGAATAAATGAACGACCTTTAGCAAAATTTGGTTTGATAACATTGTTTTAGAGCTAGCAGCTATGATGCTGATGTAGCAAAAGGTACCATGGTGAAGCGACATTTTAGACATTTTATGTGACCCTTGATGTTCACTGCTTGCTGACTTGCTAACAGCTAACAAGTTATTAGGTAATTGGAACATATAGCAGACTGTAGCCAACATCTGTTGAAGTACTTTCATATGTACAGTGAGCCTTAGGCTGCTAATGCTCATTAGCAGGGGCTAACAACTTCACCCCTTGGTTTATATTTCATATCTGCTATACATTTTAGTTATGTAACAGTTAAGCAGTTTTATTTAAAGAGAAGAACATGAAGCCGTAGGTTACGTAGTGTTGGACTGTGAGAGCTCGCTAACAGGCTAAGGCATGCTGCCTGAACTACTTCTGGGTTGAAGGGTTGAGGGTAAATGCTGTGTTTGTTGCACACACATGTCGTCTGTGTGGGTTTGACTTTAATTAAGTTTAATTTTATCTTGTTTAGCTAACACGTTACAGATTTACTGCACACTGTTTGGAGAAATGTGTACGTGTGAGAGGCGGCAGCCATCAGTCCACATTCGCTTACCTAACACCTCATTCATTTGACCTACTTTTATGTGTAACATTACCACTGCGAGAATGTCGACTTCTCTCCACAGCATCTGTTTTGTTGTGAAACTGCAGTAGTTTATGGTTTTCTATCCTTCTGTTTTTAATATTTGCTAACCCTGTGTTCTTTGTTTGGGTCCAGGTGATCCTGGTGCAGGTGAATCCAGGGGAGACATTCACTATCCGGGCAGAGGACGGCTCACTGCAATGCATCCAGGGTCAGTGGTCCCGTTTGATATTATAAACACAAAGTTGTTGTTCCTCGTCATGTAATACTTTCTCAGCTACACAGGGCGTTCTGTCTCTCTGTGTGAGGCCTCTGCACTTTAATAAGCTAGTGTACTCTGCTTGATTAAATTTATTTTATAAGAATAATTAGCACTGATAAGCCACAGAGGGAATATCATACTGCCTACTTATTGTGTGTAATTAGGTATTACCTAATGCTAAGCTTGACAAAGCACAATGGTGCATTCATGTGCCACTGGATTGACGTGGAAAGCAGTTCTATTCTGAAGTTTTCTTTTAGTTTTAGTTCCCTACAAACCCAAAGGCGTGATGGGCAGTTGTAATGTGAATTTTCAAAATAAAAGCACACAACAGGCGATATATATACATCCAACGCAGACTTTAGGTTGTCCACAGTTAGGTTCACTGGTAAATACAGAATAACTATGCTACATCTGTCAAGACGTGTGTAAACAAAATGGTTTATAAACTGTTTATTGTGCAGAAGCCCAGCTTCTAAGTTTGCCTTTTTTAAATGACCTGCTCACAAAGATCCAAGGATTCCAGCACACTTCAGCAAATAAAATGATAATAACTGTATAAATTTCACAATATATTTTTTAATATTTATTTAACAGAAAGCTGAGCGCCCCTTGCTGTGTTAGAGCCATCCTGATTGGTCAACTTTTTATATGTGCGTGGTTGATATTAAGGGAGTGAAATTGAGGCATGTCTAATTCGTTCCCCAGCATCTGTTATCAGTTCAGGAAAACTTCTGAAAATCTGAGCTACTTAGAAGCTCTTCAAAAGACCAAATGTGGCAGTGGCATTAGCGTGGGGAATTCCCCCAACTCTTGTGGAATCACGTCTCACTTTGATGATGTCAGCAGCGGCAGCAGCAGGAGAATAAGCTGTTAGTCAGAACTTTGAAAGGGGGCCTTTGTTTTCTTCCCTATCTCACTCTCGCCTTCTATCTCTGCCCTCTCACTGAAGGAGGGGAGAGTGCAATTTTGGCTCAGACACTCACTCTCCTTTGGTAAAAAAAAAAAAAAAAAAAAAATCTCCGCCACCATCAACACCCCATGATCTAATGTTGTAGCTAATTACAGCCCGCCTCTCTCTCTCTGCTGCCATGCAATTCAATTTCCCCCCTGAAATCAGAGGGATTGCCCCAGAAACCCCTACTAGCTGAGATATTAGTCAGAATTTCACGATTTGATGGATGAATGGATGGATGGATGGATAGTGTGATAGTTTCAGCTGAAGTTAACTTTGATATACATCTCTGACTGGTGCAAAGACAAGAGTGGTTTATGAGGGTTGATAAAATAATTTTTTTTTTTTTTTGCTCAAATCCTTTGGGAGAACATTCAGGTTTTTTCTGTTATCATGCTGCTGTGAATGTCACCCAGAGTTTCTGCTGGTCTTCAGTGTTTCCTACTGTACCTTTAATGTCTTAGTAAATACCTTTGTCAGGTTGATACAGCTCAACAATCCGATCTCTTTAGTTTTGTTGCAAGATTGAGGTCAGTAAAAGCTGAGTGAATAGTACTGCAGTTGAGTTTCATCTTCAGGTTAGTCAGAGTCATTGACTTTTGAAGGCAGGTGTATTGGTTTACTGTGATTGGCTCAAAGGTTTTCAGAGGTTATGGTTATGGTCTGTAACAAAATGTTTTGATCATTAATGTGGAAACACATTTTAGTGCTGTTCCCCAGTCTTTAAAATCTAAGAACCTGGCTCATTTCAAAGCTGTGTTGATGTTTATATTCACTGTTTCTATGAACCGATTTCATGTATTTATCTTTTGGTTGTTTCTAACGCCACACAGTTTCCCGGCCGTCTGAGAGTTGGAGGTCATGTTTGAATGCACATATTTGTCATATAGCTGTGCAACACACACACTCTCTCACACACAGACACACACACACACACAAACTGTTTTCTCTTCTGCCTCCGTGTCTTTCTCTGAAGGAGGTCACTGGGTTTAATAAGAGGTGGAGTGTGGCAGCTCGCTCTGAAGGCGGACCGAGTCGCTCCTTAGACACAGACTTGGTGTGATTACTGAGACCTCAGAGCTCTGTGTGTGTGTGTCTGTGTGTGTGTCTGTGTGTGCTTGCATGGCGTACTTGTATATGAGACAGGCAGTGAGATTACAGAGACCTCAGGGCACAGTCGGGAAGCAGCTTTTATATAAAGTAACCTCTGTTTAGCTGCTGCGCCGTGGTGCATGCATGCAAACGTGTATACACACACACACACACACACACAGATGTTCTGCCAGGCAGAACCGACCCGCAGACTGGAGTCAGCGATAGAGAAGTTAGTTGAGATTCTTTCATGCAAACTTTCAGCCACCCGTCTCCTCCACCTCCACCCGTCTCCTCCACCTCCACTCACTTCTGCCTCCTTCCTCCTCGTCCTCTCTCCACTCACTTCTGTCTCTTCCTCCTCAGTCCTCCTCCTCCTCGGTCCTCCACTCTGCATTTGTCTTCCTTTTTCAACCATTAAGCAGAACATGTGCTAAAAAAATAAGCTATAGTGTTGCCTAGACTGATGTTATGTGCTGCTCTTTAACCTCCTTACTGCTAATAATGACCAGCTCCAATTAGGCTCTTTTATTCCAAATAAAGATTTACAGAGATGTATTCATTTTATTCTCCAGATGTCAGCATGACGACAGCTGATGGTGCACGACTACAGTCTAATTTAAGGCCAGTTGAAACACTTTGACAGGTTAATTGCCGTCTCTGTCTTTTTTTATTATGTTAGCATTGCCATTATTTCCATTTTTTTATTATTTAAAAACTTTTAAAACTTTACTTTTTTTTTTGCTTTAATGTTGGCTGAATTTGTCTAGCTTGTTTTTGCTAGATTGTAATTTGTTTTGACTCTCTATTGTTTATTTGTAACTTAAGAGTTACCATTTTTTTTATCACTGAAATAGTGGCACATACGCTATGACGCTTTACGTCACATTTACATTATTATCTTAGTTTAATTATTTTGAGCTAACTTTTTTTGTTACTTTTTTTTTAGCTTGCTAGCGTCTACTTTTATGTATTTTTCAGCTTGTTTGCTACAGATCAGACTTTTGGCGTATATATTAGTTAACCTTCAACCATTTCTGAGCAGAATAATTTGTCTTTATGTTTACACATTAGGTTTTTCCTCCTTTCTTTATCCTCTAACTGCTCTTTCTTCTATATAGCACTAAGCCTTCTAGTAATTTTGGCCAGTTTATGAAAAGGTCTGATTTTGCTCAGACATTTGTGAGAATTGAGAACATTTCTCACACTTCATTGTAAAATAAAATAATAAATTAAAAAAATTAAATATATCAATATAAAATCATGCGTTCTTTTACCATTTTATTTACCAAAATTTAGCCCATATATATTTGTGTACTAAATTTTGTGTTTGTTTATTTCTTTTTACAACAGGTGGCACCAATAACACATTCATTCACATATTATTCTCTATATTTTTTAACATTCCCTCCTGATATTTAATGGTTCTTGGGTGTCACCTGGACTTTAACCCTGCTCTATCAGAGAACCTTCATTAAACCTGTTTCCTCCCTGAACACACTGACCGCTAGGGTGATCGCAGGGTCAGGTTCATCTGACCCTCCCTAATCCTCATCATGTCCTTCTCATGTACACCCCTCCTGTTCCCTCCCCCTCTTCAAACCCAGTCTCCCCCTTCGCCCCCATTCCCCTGAGCTTTCCCACACTCACATCAAAGGCCAAGACTCTGGAGGGTGTGTTAGAGCACCCTGCTCTGGAATGTCAGTGTGTTCATGTGTGTGTGTGTGTGTGTGTTTTACGAGGCTCTGTTGATTTACTGTGTTGCTTGCTCTTTGTTGGACTTTTTATGAGGGATGATGAGGCAGGGGTTGTGAACAGCAGGAAGCTGGGCACTGCCGGGCAGGACGTGACATCATCAGCAGCTCTGAACTCTCTTATCTCAGCAGACACTAATAAGCGGAGGTTTTGGGAGGTTGATAGCAGCAGTCCTGGAGATCCTTGAAATATTTGACTGTAGTACATGTGATGGTCAACATGAAGGACAGCTTCACTGTTTCATTGTCAGCTGAGTAACATCTAGCTGTGCAGCCATGTCTGTGATGTTCTCAGTCGACGTCCATCCATAGAAGGAGCAGCTCAGATGGACAACCAGAGTCAGGTCCAGGTTTTTCTTTTCAACCTTGGGATCTCCTGAAATGTCTAGAAACTGATAAAAAAAATGACATGACCAACTGAAGCTGAAAAAGACACACTGTAATACTATCTCAAATCTTCACTGTGCCTACTTTAATGTGCTACAGTAGCACCCAACTGTGCATGTGATCAGGGAAAATAAAATGTCACTTTGTGCACTAATCTGGATTACTCTGCAGTTGGAACACAGTATATCAAAAATATTATTAAAAACAAATTCTAGAAAGAATGCTCCGATGATTGCCAGAAATTTGTGATGGTCAAAATGAGGTCACAAGCAAAAAGAGACTGGGAACCACTGGTCCAGTCCCTTCATCCTCGATCGCCAGCTACTAAAGAGTCTACAAATATTTAAAAGAGTAGAAACTATCATCCAGAAACGACAGCTGGTGATGATGCGTACAGGCAGATGACATGATTGTTGCACAGCTGCAGAACTGTCCCCAGTGTCCCCAGTGAACTGTGGACAACTTTTCCTTTGCATGTGTGTCTTTCAGACAGAGCGGAGCAGTAGCATGAGCAAAGGCCTGTTTTGGTTCCTTCTTGCAGCTGTGCTGTTTGTTCCATCTCCATGTGTATTTGACATTGTTATTCTCTGTCCCCTCAGAGTGTGCGGCGTCTTCTCTCTTTATCTCAAATCCCCATCCCTACCCCCAAATTGTTGACACCCTGCACTTCCCACCTTATTCTTCATCTAAACAGCCTAAGGTGATGATATATATGTCTTCAGTTAAAAAAAAAAAGAAGCAAGTAGGCATGCAGAGAACCC